TCTATTTTTAATTTTTTTAAAGGAAACTCCATACTATTTCCCATAGTAGCTGTACCAATTTATAACCCTAGCAAGTGTGCAAAAGTTCCCCTTTCTGCATACCCTCTCCAGCATTTGTTATACTGTGTCTTTTTTTTTTTTTTTTTTTGATATTTTGTTCAGATAGAGTGGGAGTGAGAGAGAGAGAGAAACATCGACGTGAAAGGGACACATCGAGTGGTTGCCACCCATACAACCCAACCAGGGCTGGGGACAAACTGCAACCGAGGTACATGCCCTTAGCGGGAACCGAAACTGGGTCTCTCGGGACCGCAGGCCGATGCTCTAACCGCTGAGCCAAACCGGCCAGGGCTATTGTGTCTTTTTATAATAACCATTCTAACAGGTCTGAGGTGATATGTTCCAATTTGCATCTTCCTAATAATTACTATGTTAAGCACTGTTTCAAGTACCTGTAGCCCATTTGCATATCTTTTTTGGAAAAATGTTTCTTCGGGTCCTTTGCCCATTTTTAAATTGGATTATTTGGGTTTTTGGTATTGAGTCATATGAGTTTTATATATATATTTTTATATTAATCCTTTATGAGATATATGGTTTACAATTATTTTTCCCATTTTGTAGGTTGTCTTTTCATTTTGTTGATTGTTGGTTATTGTTATACATTTTTCAAAAATTAACAAATGTAAATTTTTTCTCAATTTTTTTTTTTCAAAAAAGGATCAGCTAGTTTAGGATTTTGTGATTTATCAAGATATCCAGAAAAAAAAATCAATGTGATCACAAAGAAAGGTCTTTGATTTGGGGAGGAGATTTTCCCTCTCCCTCAGGGCCTTGAGATATCCCTGAAGACCTAGCTCTCCCTGCCCCATCTCTATCCCCAGACCAGAGTCAGCAGAACCAATTCTCAGCAAAGACCCTCTGTGGCCAGGAAAAAGGGGAATGGGATTGTTCCTCAGTATTTCTCATTCTGGACAATCATGAGAGAACTTCAGAGTTAAAATCTGTGTGGTGTAGTAGGAAAAAAGGAAGTGGCTCAGGTGTCTTACCCCTCACTAAAACAGGCCTCACCTGTTTTGTACATTTAAGTCCCACCTAATCAGGAAGACTCTCCCCCTCTCTCTCCTTCTGTATTTTCTCTTTTTCTGCCTTCCTAGGTTTGGATCAAAACCAAAAGACAAAATTAAAAGATACAAGTCTAGGTTCTGGTCCCATCTCCTCACTGAGGCTGTGGGTCTCTCTCTGGAGTTTCGTTTCCCTGTGTGGCCCTCTGTTTCCGACAGTGCCTCTCACTACTTCTGTCAAAGATCAGGAGGACATTTGAAAAGTAGGAAAACAGCACAGATGAGAGAAAACCTAACCCTAAATGCCAATCTGGTCTTGTCATTCTCTTGCTTCCACACCTGTGGCCCTCAGCTGCTGAGGTTCTTCACAATGGCCTTGCCTCCAGCCTCGGGTCCACCATTGCCACCCCCAGGAGCAACCACTTCCAGGCCCACACCTGGAACTTGCCCAACACAGCAGGCTCCCTCACACCTCAGTATCCTCTACTCGTCCTTCTCTGTGGCATGTGGACATGGCCCCACCCCACCCCACTGGCCTGGCCTGGTCCTCAAGCTCCTCCCTGTAGTCCCAGGGCCTTCTGTGACACCCTCCTCCCTTCCCATCATTCTCTGTTGAAGACGTTCTCATGCACCAGGCTCACCTTAGGATGGCAGCACTTAACACAAAACTGTCTGCTTGTCTTACTCTTCCTGCTTCTCTACAAGCTCTGGGGCAGGACTTAAATTTTCCATCATCTCTATATCCCTAATGGTATGGTATGCAATGGGAACTCAGTGAAAACTTATTTAATAAAGTTATAAAGTGTGGATAATTGGTTTTGCCTTTTCACAAAGATGTTCTGGGGATTCAGTCCTTCTTATTAGGCCAATCCATTACTCATATTTTTAGCAGCCTAGACGTCTCTGTCACAGAATCAACCAGGGTTGTAATTAATGATCTAGCTGTATGTTTCTTTAATATCTATCTCCTATACACACAAACACATTTTCTTGTTATTTGCCTTGTTCACTGCTATATCCCCAACATTTAGCATAGTGTATTAATCATTTCTTTTTATTTTCTGTAGTTTTGATTTTTTGATATCCAGGGTCTTGCTAATCCTGAAAAGATACCCCTCCCAAGATAGCAAAGACCTAGAAATAGTAAACAACTCACTTATTAGTGTACTTTTCAAATACAAACCAACCAGTCCAGAGTCCACACCCCAACCACTTCCTCCATGGAGCTTTTAATTTTCAGGCCACTACTGCTCTGCCTTAATCACTGCAGTGCCGGATACCAGATATCTAGGGGACAGCCCTCCTCCGCAGAGCCCACTGAAATTATTCAAACCAGCCAATCCTACACCTGCTCAACCTGCCTTACCTGTTCCTTCCTGTACAAACCACAATGAACACCCTTGCCAGAGTTTCCCCTCCCCGTCTGCCACTTGACTTACCCTGGAACTTATCCATGTGACCCCTATGGCCTGACATGCCCCCCCCCTCCTTTTGGGTACTAACAAACTATGTTTTCAATGACAATCATCTGATCTATCAGCCTTACTTTGCCTCAGATTTTAAAATACACTATATTTTAAAATACACAGTACCTGGCACTTAGTTGGTATTTAACAAATATATGCTGAATGAATATACCAAATGAGATATGAAGTATCTTGAAGATTACAGAGTTTCAGACAGGTAATTATCCCCTTTCTTTTTTTATTTCTAGTGTCCTCTCCTTTATTACATTGTAACTCAGATGCAGATTCTCAAGCCACACTAGCTTCCTAGCTGTGTGATCTTGGGCAAGTTTCTCATTCTTTCTGGACCTCAGTTTTCTTGTTTACAAACTGTGAATAATAATAAAGCTAACCACACAAGATTGTTGTGAGGAGTAAATGAGTTCACATTTACAAAGCTCTTATAACAGTATCTAGTCCACATAAAAGTGCTTAAAAATATCAGCTTTGATTATTGTCCCACCAACCCCTCTCTCAGCTCCCCTACTGACATCTAGTAGGCAGTGTTGGCTTCCAGCCCTCCACCTTAAGAATGACTATCCCAGGTCCTGTTGAGCCCCAGAAGAATCATTCTTTTTAGCCCTATCAGTGACACTATTAGTGATGTAGAATCTAGGGGGGAAAAAAAGCCAGCAGTTTTCTTTCCAAACAGAAGGTAGGCACACTTAGAGCACCACTTGTCGTTATTTGGCTGTCAATTACTACAGAATCTTACTTCTAAAGTGTCTTCTCATTTGGGCCTAGAATTAACTTTTAAAATCATAAAACAAAACAAAACAGAAATGCCAATTCTTTCCTTTGAACAAAGCATCCATCCAGCAGCAGCACACTGCAGGCCACCCTCTTTCCAGCTCTCATTGCTCTCTCACCAGTCCTGGCGCTGAGAACTCCACTGTGCCCCTGCAGGATGCCTTGTCAATCTGAGGAGGATGTGTGTGTGCAAAGCCCACTGTGCTGGGCTGAGAAAACAACAGAGGAACTGGGGAAAGAACAAAGGAAAATGTAAAGCAAAGAAAAAAATCCAAACTTGGTCTAAAACAGGAAAAGATTTTCAGAATAGCTATTTTCTTGTTCTTTGGTTATTCTCAGTACAGAGAGTATGGCCCCAGGTTGGGTTTTAAGACTTGAAGTTTTATATAGAAGAGAAATGCTTAGTTCTCTCTCTCTCTCTCTCTCTCTCTCTCTCTCTCTCTCTCTCTCTCTCTCCTCTCCCCCCAAATTAACAAATAGAAGGGAATAGAGGGGTAGGGGTAGATTTTGACCAAATCATATCATAACCCTGAGTCATGGGAGAAAGAGGTGAAGGCACCTGTGCTGGTTCATCCCATGTGTATGTCAGGCAAAGTGATTTTCTGCTTATAGACTCCACGTTCCTCAGAAATAAAGACCATGCCTTTCTTATGTATCTGTGAGGTCTTAGTGCCTAACACTGGGCTGGTTCACAGTAGGTACTTGATAAATGATAAGTGAGTGGAAAGAGGGATGGGTGATTTAGCCAGACACATTAGCTAGGAGGAAAGGAGAAGTAGGCATAGATAGTCAATTCTGAATAATCAACATTTCACTGAATAGTCCTACTTTCAGTCCTTCTCCAGGGGACCTTTAAAAATTAGTTAATGATCCAAGTTCTCAAGACATGTGAACTCAAATGAATTTTAATGACCTGGGATGATGGAATCAAATATTTCATTTTCACCCATGGTCAAGGCCAACAAAATCTTGGGTCCAACTTGGATTGGCACCATGTCCAGTGGTAACCAAGAACCAAGGAAGAGCTATTAAAGCAGTAGGAATATTCCCATATTCCATTACTTCTTGTTGACAATCCCAATCTTAAAGCATTAACCAATAGTTTCCTCTATAATTCCAGCAGATCCAGGGGCTCAGATGCAATTTCAATCTACCAAATAGGACAGAGATTCCAACAGTCTTACAAGATCCACTCTCCCTTTCTATCTCACCAAAAGAATCTTAATTTGTTTGAGGTTGAGGATAATGGTGGCACATTGCAGCTAGGAGTGTTCAGTTAAGTAAAGAAGAGTAAACCTTTATTGCTTTAAGCCCTTGTTTTTCAGAACTTGGTTACTTGCAGCCTAACCCATTTCCTAATTGTTATTCCCAATATACCAGGTAATCAGTTTGAAGAGAGAATTCTAGCAAAGTCTAGGGAACTAAGCAGGTAAATCAAGTGTCTAAAGTTAATACACTGGCTTCACATCAAGAGTTAAACAGGAGAGGATTTAACTATCTGAATGAGACCTATCTCATTCAAGGTAGTTACTTTGGGAGGCAATACCACTATTTCTCAAAACATGTTTGAATCTTTTTTGTACTGTCTTCTGAGAGAACTTCCAGGTTACACAGGTCCATTTTCCTTTATACTTCCACCACATTTAGGGTTAATAATAGCACCAACAACTTGATAACTCACCTCATTGACCAGAAATATCTCCATTCCAAATGACTTTTGATTATTTCAAAAAATGAAATAAATCTTCGAAGGATGAATTTTGTCACCATGGAGGGCATTAACATGACATCACTTGCAGGCTGATTCTAGATTCCTCTCTGTCCTTTCTCAGCAAGACTGTACATAACAGGAAAGCCATTGGGAGAGAAGAGCCCTTGAACAACCACACCTGCTCATAAAGGTTCTGTCCCCTGGTCCACCGCAGAAGTTGAGATTTGGCTGTTGGTCTTCTACCCTTAGTGAACTTTGAAGCCATCTCTATATCTGGGTTAGTTCCCTTAGCTCTGATTTTGTCCTGTCTTGTCTTTGATGACCTTTAAGTATGACTCAAGATGTTATGTTTGCAACAGAACAAAAGGTTCATAAAAGTGAACACAACTAGTCCTAGCCAGGACCAGGAGAAAGTGGCATCTTCAAAGCTGAGTAGTGTCCATTCACAAGTGTGGGTGGTCCTAGAAAAAAACAAAAGAGATGTGTTGCTTGGGGACTCAGTTTGAAGAGCTGCTCAATGGGAGAGAGAATGCTAAAAAAGGTCAGGTCACTAAGCAGGTAAGTCAGCTACCTAAAAGTCAATGGAACGATTGATCATATTGAAAGCAAAAGAGGAGAGGAAGGAGCTGGGAACCAGGGAGCATTGGAGAGTGAGAATGGGTTGAAGGCTGATTCAAAAATAAATGCTGGACTTCAGGTGCCAGCAAAGATGAAGTGAGGCCATAACAGCCTATATCTCCCACTAGTTACAGCTAAAAATCTGGAAAGAATTTGAAAAGCAACTAACTACCTGAGGACTCTGAAAAGTAAACACTAGTAGGTGATTTAGGGAAGAAAGTCAAAACTTGAAGAGTGACAAGTACAGAAGTAAGATTTCTTATTTTTTCCTTCATCTTCTGGTTTTGTCTAAAAAGGTGGGTCACAGACAGAGCTACCGAAAGCAAACAGATCCAAAGTAGGGTATCAAACACTTTGTAATTTTCATTCAATTGTTAGGAGGCTTGGAGCTATTAGTTATTCTATTTTCCAATACACTGTTTAATATAGCACTGAATACATGATGCAAGTTGTCAGTGGATGAGTGATCAACTAATAGCTCTGCTAGTAATTGATTTATTTTTCTTCAATAAAACAAAACAAAAAAACCTCCATCTGTAACCTGATCTTTCTAACAGGACCAAGAAAAGAGATCCCAGTGAGCCTGTGAGTGTGGAAGGAATGACCTCTGTGCCCTTCTTTTTTCCTTGTTTGTCTATCTGTGCCTCAAGGCCAGCCTCAGTTTCAAAGCAGTACACCTTCTGCCATGCAACATCGGCACCTAAAATGTAGTAAATAACCTGTCTTTCTGGACAGAGGAATGCTGGTAAGCAGAGAGTGTGTGGAAATCCAGGTGAGAAGAGCTGGAGACAGGCATTCCTTATTCTGTGACTGAACCAATAAAAATCCTAATTTCACCCCTGAGTTACACATATGTGGAAGACACCCAAAGAAGTATTTAGCAAAGGTTTTGGGAACTGAACTACAATCTAAAACAACTCTAGAACTTCTAGACCCATCCTGGAGTAGTACATGCCTGGGCAGGCATGGAGCCTGGGAAGGGCTTTGAAATCTGAGTTGACATTGGAACCACCAGCCCCCAAAAGTAAGTCAAGACTTACAGTCTGAACCTGACCAGTTTGTTTGCCTACTAAAACAAAGAGACTAATATTATCCAGAGGATTTGTTAACAGACTTTAATATCTTAGAACAGTTTTTGGTTAGAAAGTTTGCACCCAGTTTTCTCTACTGTTAACATGTTACATTCGTATGGTACATTTCTTACAATTAACGAACCAATATTGATACCTTTTTAGGAATTAAAGTTCATAGTTTACTCAGTTTTTCTTAGTTTTTACTTGTCTTTTCCTCCCCAGGATCCCATCCAGGATACCACATTACATTTAGTCATTATGTATCTGTCAGTTCCTCTTGGCTGTGACAGTTTCTCTTGTTTTCGTGTGTTGGATCACCTGGACAGTTTTGAGGCGGACTGCTCAGGTTTTCTGTAGATCCTCATTGGAATTTGTCTGATACTTGTTTCATTAGACGGGGGTTATGAAGTTTTGTTTTTTAGATAAAATTCAAAAAAGATTAAAATTAACCATTTTAAACTGTACAATTCAGTGGCATTTGGTACATTTATTTATTTCTAGTTGCAAAATATTTTTATAACCACAAAAGGAAACCCCATAAGCAGCCACTTTCATTTCCCTCCATCTCTTCAATCCCTGAAACCACCAGTTTGCTTTGTCTATATATAGATGTACCCACTCTGGATATTTCATATAAATGAAATCTTACAATATGTGGCCTTTTGTGTCTGCCTTCTTTCACATAGCAAGTTCTTCAGATTCATCCATGTTGTATTATGTTATCAGTATTTTATTTTTTATAATAATATTCCATTGAATATATTTCATTGTATAGATATACCACATGTTGTATATCCATTCATCTGTTGATAGAAATTTGGGTTGTTTCCATGTTTGGGCTATTGAAAATAATGCTACTAAGAAGATTTGCATACAAATTTTTGTTTGATATCTACTTTCAGTTCTTTTGGATACATATTTAGGAGTGGAATTGTTGGGTCATATAATAAATTTCTATTTAATTTTTTAAGGAATCACCAAACTGTTTTCACAAAGTGACTGTATCATTTCACATTACCACCAGCATTGTGTGCAGGTTCCAGGTTTGTTACATTCTTGGCAATACTTATTGGTGTCTGTATTTTATTCTAGCCCTCCTAGTGAGTGTGAAGTGATATCTCATTATGTTTTTGGAGTGCATTCCCATAATGACTAATGATGGTGAGTACCTTTGTATATGCCACTTGACATCTGTCTATCTTGCTTGGAGAAATACTTGGCTCAAATACTTGGCTCATTTCTTAATGGGGCCTTTTGACTTTTTGTTGTGGAGTTGTTAAGAGTTCTTAATATATTCTGAATACTAGACCTATATTAGATATAAATTTTGCAAATGCTTTCTCTTTTCATTTTCTTGGTAATATCCCTTAATGCACAAAAGTTTTAATTTTGATAAAGTTTAACTTACCTATTTTTTCCTTACGCTATTGTTGTCATATCTGGGAAACCATTGCCAAATCAAAGTCATCAAGATTTACCCATTTTCTTCTAAGAGTTTTATAGTTTTAGTTCTTACATTTATTTTTTTTTAATTTTTTTATTAATTAATTTTTGTTACAGATGTTTCTCCTTTTCCCCCCACTGATTCCCCTCTCCCCTTCACTCCCTGCCCTTTCCCCAGCTTTGTTGTCCATGTCCATTGTTCATCCATACATGCATGTAAGTTCTGTGGTTTATCTCTCCCCCACCACCACCTCTCCTGGGGATTGTCAGTCTGTACCCCACTTCCATGTCTCTGGGACTACCCCATTCCTCAGACTGTGGTGTTCATTATATTCCACAAATAAGTGAGATCATATGATACTTGTCTTTCTCTGTTTGGCTAGTTTCACTTAGGATGATACTTTCCAGGTCCCTCCATGTAGTATCAAAGAATAAGAGATCTTTCTTTCTTACAGCTGCATAGTACTCCATTGTGTATATGTACCATGGCTTTTTTATTCATTTGTCTACTGCTGGACACTTGGGCTGTTTCTAGATCTTAGCTATTGTAAATAGTGCTGCTACAAACATGGGGGTACATATACCTTTCTGATTGGTGTTTCAGGCTTCTTAGGGTATATTCCTAGAAGTGGGATCACTGGGTCAAATGGAAGATCAATTTTTAATTTTTTGAGGTAACACCATATTGTTTTCCATAATGGCTGCACCAGTCTGCATTCCTACCAGCAGTGACTAGAGTCCCCTTTTCTCCACATCCTTGCCAACACTTGTTGTTTCATGATGTGTTGATGCCGACCATTTTGACAGGTGTGAGGTGATACCTCATTGTTGTTTTAATTTGCATCTCTCTGATGATTAGTGATGTTTCTTCATATGTCTCTTAGCCATTTGTATGTCCTGTTTGGAGAGGTGTCTATTTAGTTCCTCTGCCCATTTTTTAATTGGGTTCTTTGTCTTCCTTTTGTGGAGTTGTATGAGCCCTCTATATATATTGGAAATGAACCCATTATCTGATATATCATTGGCAATTATGCTCTCCCATATAGTGGGTAGCCTTTCCGTTTTGATGATTGTATCTTTCGTTGTGCAGAAGCTTTTGAGTTTGATGTAGTCCCATGTGTTCATTTTCTCCTTTGTTTCTATTGCCTTAGGTGATGTATCAGTGAAAATTCTGCTGCATATGATGTCTGAAATTTTGTTGCCTACAGTTTCTTCTAGGATTTTTATGGATTCATGAGTCACATTTAAGTCTTTTATCCATTTTTAGTTTATTCTTGTGTAGGGTGTACTAGACCATCAATTTACACCCTACACAAGAATAAACTCAAAATGGATAAAAGACTTAAGATGGTCTAGTTTCATTTTTCTGCATGTAGCTGTCCAATTTTCCAAATAACATTTATTAAAGAGGCTGTCCTCACTTCGCTGTATGCTCTTGCTGCCTTTGTCAAATATTAATTGAGCATATTGCCTTGGGTCCATTTCTGGGTTCTCTGTTCTGTTCCACTAGTCTATATGCCTGTTCTTGTGCCAGTACCAGGCTTTTTTGATTACAGTGGCTTTGTAGTATAACCTGAATTCTTGTAATGTGATCCCTCCCACTTTTTTCTTCTTTTTCAAGATTGCTGTGGCTATTCAAGATCTTTTTTGGTTTCATATGAATTTTTGCAGTACTTGTTCTAATTCTGTGAAGTATGCCGTTGATAATTTGATGGGGATTGCATTGAATCTATAGATTGCTTTGGGTTATATGGACATTTTAAAGATGTTGATTCTTCCAATCCATGAACAGGGTATGTGCTTCCACTTTTTCATATCTTCCTCTATTTCTTTTTTCAATGACCTGCAGTTTTCTGTGAATAGGTCCTTTATTTCATTGGTTAAGTTTATTTCTAGGTATCTTAATTTTTTTGCAGCAATGGTAGATGGGATTGTTTTCTTAGTTTCTCTTTCTGTGAGTATATAAGAATGCTATAGATTTCTTGACGTTAATTTTGTATCCTGCTACTTTTCCAAATTCATTTATTAAGTCAAGTAAATTATTGATGGAGTCTTTGGGGTTTTCTACGTATAGTATCATGTCATCTGCAAATAATGACAGTTTCACTTCCTCCTTTCCAATTTGGATCCGTTTTATTTTGTCTTGCAGTCTCATTGCTGTGGCTAAGACTTCCTATACTATGTTAAATAAGAGTGGCGAAAGTGGGCATCCTTGTCTTGTTCCTGTTCTTAAGGGAAATGCTTTTAGTTTTTGCGCATTGAATATGATGTTGGCTGTAGGTTTTTCATAGATAGCCTTTATTATGTTGAGGTATGATCCCTCTATT